CTGAATACCAGAGGCAATGTCAAAGTGAGAATTAGGTTTACACAAGGTCAGAACTCAGGGAAGGCATCCCAGAGCCAGGGATCTGTGCTTTGCCCCATGTTCAGCTCTGGGCCCCTCACTACAAGAAAGACATTGAGGTGCTGGAGGGGGGGCAGAGAAGGGCAACGTAGCTGGTGCAGGGCCTGGAGCACAAGTGTGATGGGGAATGGCTGAGGGACCTTGGGGGGTTCAGTCTGGAGAAGTCTCAGGGGGGACCTTATCGCTCCCTACAACTGCATGTTCCCAAGGAACAAGGGATGGGACAAGAGGAAACAGCCTCAAGCTGCACCAGGGGAGGCTTAGATGGAGAAGAGGAACAATTCCTTCCCCAAACGGTGCTCGGGCATTGGAACAGGCTGCCCAAGGCAGTGCTGGAGTCACTGTCCCTGGAAGCATTCACAAACCACGCAGAAGAGGCCCCCAGTGACATGGGTTAGTGGTGGCCCTGGCAGTCCCAGGGGAACAGTTAGACTTAGAGGTCTTTTCCAACCCAGTTAATTCTGTGACTGTATGGTTGGAAGCAGCCACAGCTCCTGCAACCTGGGGAGCAGAGCACTATGCTGCCAGCACCATCCCTGACACAGTTTGAGCCCTCACCCCGCCGGCAAGCCCCCACATGCCTGCTTCGAGTGCCAGCTGTGGGCAGCAAGTCGTGACAGGCCTCGAAGGGAAGCGACACCCCCGATTATCCCTTTGCAACCCGCCCGAAGCTCCCGAGTAAGCCGGAGCCCAGCGGCGCGGCAGAGTCAGCCTCCTCCGGCGGCCGCCAGAGGGCGCCGCAGTGCCCCGCAGCCGCGCAACCTCCGCGTCCCCGCCGCGGCCGCTGCTCTGCCCCGCGCACGGCGCAGCAAGCGGCGGAGGCACCTCGGAACAGCGATTCTCAAGCCCACACAAACCGGGCTGTGCCCCGCTGTGGGGGCCGCGGCGCAGTCCCAGCTCGCTCTTTGCAGCCTGCTGAAACCGTGACTTTGGTTTCTGTCGTTCAGTGGAACCGTATTCATGCTCGTAAAGCACAACAGCTGCATTTTGACACGAAGGCAGGGGTGGGTTTAGGGTGAGCAGAGTGGAAAATGCACTTCAGGATGTTCAGATGAAATTGAGTGCTCTTGTTCCCAGGTGCTGCAGGGGTTTAAAATGCTTCATAGAAAGAGAGTTTGAAAATTAGGGTCAAATAAGGAGCAAGATGCATAAAGCAGGACTAACAGATGTTAACAAAGGGAATGGGCTTAAGATAAAAGAAGGGAGATTTAGATGAGATATGAAAAGTCTTCCCTGTGAGGGTGCTGAGGCGCTGGCACAGGGTGCCCCGAGAAGCTGTGGCTGCCCCATCCCTGGCAGTGCTCAAGGCCAGGTAGGACACAGGGGCTTGGAGCAAGCTGCTCTAGCGGAAGGTGTCCCTGCCCGTGGCAGGGGTTGGAGCTGGAGGAGCTTTAAGGTCCCTTCCACCAGAAACTGTTCTGATTCGGTGATTAAAGCCCAACACTCAAACCAGTAATGCTCAAAATTCCCATCCATTTGCTGGTGACATTAACACACACCCAAAGCCCCCTGGGCTTGGCCAAAGCATCTTAGAAGCTAGCACAGGCCCAAGCCTTTGAAAGGCACATGACACTGATCATTACTATTTGTCCTGAAAGACTGGATCCCAGAGAGCCATGGGAATATCCATTCCAGATCAGGCACATACAGTATTCATCCCTTTTCCATAGATTAGTTCAGGAGTTAAGACACTGGTTTGGGATGCTGGGAGCACAGGGCCATAGCTCTTTCCTCCATCCCAGCTACCAAATTATGGGCTGCTCTGATGGGCAGCAGAAGCCTGTACATAAATCCTGCTCTTGATGGTTTGCCTTAGTGTGGAACATTTCCAGATGGATTAGACTGGAGAAAGGGAACAGGATGGTGCAGCTTGGAGCTTTAAAGAAAGAGCTCTTCTCCCAGTGGAGAATAGCTGCGAAGAGATTTAACCTCTGAACTGAAGGGCTCCAACACCCTTTCATTGGGGGAAAGCCACCATTTTGCCAAAATCCCAATCCACCACAAGCATTGCTGGAGAAGTCCTACGAGTTTCAGCCCTTCCACACAGAGGCCAAACTGTCTACTCAGCAAATCCTGCCAGGGCAGAGGTGTTAAATAACTACCTTAAACCTCAGTGTCGCAATACTCCCGGTCCTTGCTCAATTGCCACCTGACCTTAGAGACTCCTGGAGCCTGCTCATGCCTTTCTTGACACCTTTAGCCAGCCCCAGAACTTGAATGCCATGAGAAGGTGTCCTGCAGTGCTCTCAAGAGGCCCACTTCCAAGCTATGTTTTGTTAAGGGTAATTAGCTGAGTAGCCAGAAGGGATGAGAGAGATAACTGGGAATGCCACAGCCCGAGCTGCGAGTGACCACTAGTCAGCATTGCAGCCTTTCGACAGAAAACACATTGTTTTCTGCTATGTGGACAAACAGGTTGGACTAATTACATATAATCATTATTATTTATGCTCTACAGACATCAGAGTTTTGTCTTTAAATGAATTTATAGAGGGGGAAAAAAAAAAAAAAATCACAAAGCTGAATAATCCCTTTAATTATATGCTTAAAAATCCTGAATGGAAGAAATTAGGAGGCACAAAGGAACAAACATAAACTAATTATTCCTTCCTTTGCAGCTAACATATTTCTATGGTAACCACTATGGTCTTCGAAGAAATTCAATGATCTTTCTAAATCAGATCATCAGGAAAGTCACCCAGTAAAGCCACAAACCCAAAATCTTTCAAATAAGCCTAGAGATGAAGGAGGAAATTCCTGCTTTTCCCAGCTGTTCATCATTATAGCCATGAAACTGCATCTTCATCAAAACCACAGAGGAGATTCTCTCTTATGTGCTGTGTGGGGGTCAGTGGATATTGGAATCCCAGACTGGTTTGGGTTGGAAGGGACCTTAAAGCTCAGCCAGTTCCAAACCCCTGCCACGGGCACACAGGTAATTTGTGTATATAGAAGAGCAGAGAGGACTTTGACCTGTTCTGTATCCTGCATGGCAATATGAGAAGGTGAACAGAAGAGAACATATGGTCTTCATAGTTGCACTTTCTGCTTGCACACTTATTTTTAAGTTTGAAGGCTTCTTGTACAGCCTCAGCTTTCTTGTGCATCTTCAAGTAGATTGTCAAGTATTGATTTAAATGTGGGGTGTCCCAGTTCTGTTTCTCCAGTACATGGAGAAGCATACCAGGTAGGCAAAGTTTTAGTAGGTCAACACATGGGAAGTGGAGCAGTATTTGGCAAAGACCAAGTTTACACATTTTTGTACATGAAATGTAGTGAATTAATCAAGCCCATTCACTTCAAACCCAAACCAGCCTGTCACCACCTTCCCATCATCAAACACCAGCTCAGAGGGTGCATTCCCAGGGCAGTAATTCAAGCAGAGTGGGCCCTGGAGCTGGCAGATCCTGGCTCTATGCGAGGTTCACCTCTCCAGGCTGTTTGTCAGCCAAAAACACAGTTCCTGCAAACACACCTCACTCTTCTTTTGACCACACTGCCAAAACCAATGGCTTCCCCTATCGCATCTGTGGCCATGCTGGCAGCTACAGATAAAGCAGTTAACTGAACAGACTCCAGCGAAGGGATTCAGTTAAGAGGAAAGTCCCTGCAGCTGAAGCTGAGCAGCAGGGTTCAAGCTTTTTCACAGAAGTCAGAATTTTTTCCCTTCCTTCGGTCTCCACTTGGCACTTTGACCATCACACTTTCAGATGTCTGCCTTCCTTCACTGCTGTGAGCAAAACAGGAACTTTGCTGCACAAAACTAAGTAGGATGCTCTATATGATCTGTCTCTATGCTGGGATGAGTTTCCATCCCAAATACAAATACCAAGTAACTTCAGTGTCAGCAGGGACTGTTGGTTGGCTTTCTACATAACAGCCCTCATAGGCTTTACCCCTGTTCTTGGATGGTTTTTGCCACAGCTTTGTAAGGACATGAGGACATGTCATGCATCCCAGGCACAGGCCAGCAAGAGATTTGTTCCTGCCTTTGGTTAACATAATATTCTTAATAGCAGCAATAACAGCTCCTATTAAGACATCCTGCTGGCTTCGGAGAACAGGTTCCTGTTTTCCTCAGGTTCTTATTTTAGAAGCTCCTGGGGACTATGTAAACATGTCAGCTAGAAACAAAAGAACCATAGAGATCATTTGCTGAGAGCTTGGGTGGGTGATCAGAGCAGGGAATATGACGGGTCTGGCTGGGCTGCTGCTAGAAAGAGGAGCTTTCCCATCAACAACACTGGGAGATAGCAAGCTTGGCACAAATAGAGATGTACCAAGAGCAAGCAACACTGAGCAAACACTATCCAGGCTGGGGAAAGGATGTGTACACAACCTCACCACACTATGAGAAATTCACTTCCATTCAGTGCAAGACACCTCAGCTCTGTGCTGTGCCTTGTGGCCCCATTCTACATCTGCTCTGCCAAGTCTTTGTGCCCTTTGCTATGTTTAGTAAAAACCATAGTGGTTGAATGCTCATTTTGTGTTTGTAGTAACAGTTTTCCTCAAAAGATAACTTTTACACACTGAAATATCTCTCTAAAGTCAAGCTTGCTCACATCCCATCTTCCTTTTTCATTAATCCAGCAAAAATATCAAAAGCTCCATAATGAATGGCACCACTCTCATAACAGACAAAAGAGCTGAAAAATCTTCATGAGAGTTTTTTGGCTCTTGATCCTCCAAAGCACTTAAGCAGGAGCTTAATTTACTGCGGGTAAGTAGATGTGGCTCCAGTGGGACTACATAGCTGATTAAAGAATAAATGTAATTGTCTCTATAGATCAATGCCTTAATTTATTCCTCCTGGAGTATCAGATGGATCCTTATAGCCTCTGATAAACTTGTGCAGTGCAACACACTAAGTCATTCAAACTATGAAACCACACACATGCTAATGGAAATCTATACCTAGCTAGGTATTAACATCCCTGTTCAAGTATTTAATTTCTATTGCATTTTCTAGTTAAATAAAGTAGGGTTTTTTTCAGAACTCTATATAGAGAGCTTACAAAAGCAACCCCACACCTTTTCCAACATCTTGACATATTCCAGAGCAAAAAAAAGAACCCAAACCCACAAAACCAGACATTTACCAGGGCAGATCCCTTCAACAGGAACAAATTTAAGACCCTGGAAAGTAACTTCAGGTATTTGAAAGAATGAAAGGATGTTGAAGGCCAGCTACAGGGCATGAAATCAGATATTGGAGCTGCTTCTGTTGCTAGCTGGTGCTTTGGACACATGTTTATCTGCTGTTTAGGGACCCTTATTCTATAGGCACTGAAAGTGCATCCATCAGAGGTATGATTTAATGGCCTTCACAGCAACCAGTGACCCTACAGGAAGAATAAATGAGTGTGTGTTGTTTGCTGAAGGCGAAGGCATGTTTTGCACACATGATGTCACTCTTGCAACTCAGGAAGAACTAATTGCTCAGCTTGTTGTAAAGTCTCATACTCCTTGGGTTTACTTGCAAATTATAGTCGTCTGGAAAGCTGCAGTATGTCATCAGCACACAGCAATGCTGTCTGAAGCGTAATTAATATCTGTCTTTCTTTTCAAGTTCCTTATTTACCCTCTTTCCCCCATGACAAATATGTTAATGCCTTCTCCAAAACCCACAAGTTGTCATTTTCAAAGAGCCCCCGTCTTTCTGCCTTGAGCTCAACACTTTAGACTAAATCATGGGGAGGCTGTTCTTGCCCCCATTAAAGCTATTGAGGGTTTTGTCAGTGACTTCAGTGTAAGCAAACTCTCACAGGCTGTAATGGGAGCAGGACCACAGACCTATTTTGCTTTGCACCTTCAGCCAGAGGAGAAAAAAAAGGCAGCACCACACCAAACAAACAACAGGCAGGGATTGCCTCGGAGTTCTGCAGGATTTTGAGTTGAATCAGGTGCCCAGAGCAACATGACCATCATCAAACCATCCAGTCTTATGGGCTGCAATGGATTACAGGGTCCTAAAAGGCTTTAGTTTTGATTTTGAGAATTGATTTTATATCTTGGGGGTTATTTCCAGCAATACTATCTGCTTACCTGATTCTCTTTTAAGTGCTTATCTGCAAAGAGTAAAATACTGCCCAGATCTTAATATAGTAGCATGTGAAAATAAACATACAAAAGATGTGTATCAGTGACAGCAATAACTGTACTGGTAGCCCAGACCATTACTGAGAACGTTTGCCACCAGCTCATGAAGTACAGCTCGCACAAGTACCAGGACTTGGATAACCCTGAATGTGTGTGCCCATTGCTGTGTGTGCCCCTTTACAGATGAGTCATGTTTATAAATAATAAATGTATTTACACCAAAATCAGAAATAGAATCTCCTGTATTTCACTACCCACATCGGGGTCCTACTTTTCCTTTTGTATTAAAGGAAAAAAATCCCCTGATAAAATCATCTGCCATGCAGCAGAAATCTCTGTGCAACAAGTACTATTTCTACTAGTACGTAGCTGTTAGCTTCAGATGTGAGTAAAGCATTTCCTTTTCCAAGCTTTAAACACATGGCAAGTCCCCATGCTGTATTTATCAAGTTTTCACATGTTTCTATCCCTCCACAATTAGCAAGGTAGATCTTCTGGAATTCTTACTGTATTACTAATGTGAATGTACTTGCAGGTAAGAAACTACAAGATAGGTTATAAATATCTTGTTTTGCCCATAGTGCTGTAACATAGAAGTTTAGACACCCATTTTCTTCCCAAAACATCCAGCTGTATCCAGATTTCCGCATTAACTCATACTTATCTCACCTCTCCCATTGATCTAGAACACCTTGTAGACCCTCTTGGGACCATGAGTACAAGTAAATAGTCATATTTAACTCCAGCTCAGCAGCATTACAGGAGCATCAGTAGCGGTGATTTTGAGGGTTAACATGGTGTCTGAGGGACACTGCTTGGTCTCTGCACTGCTGTGGTCTTCACCAAGTAAATTTTACATTGACTGGAGCATCTTTATCCAAGCACTTTTCCTCAGTCAGGAGCACTGTAGCATCCTGTGAGGTTTCCAATGAGAGCACTGAGGTCAGGCTTCCAACAGGGTGTAATATAGAGTCCCAGTCCTGCTGACTGAAGGAAGCCCATAGTCTGCAATCACTTCTGCACGTGTTCTACAAGCCACCTGCTATTTACATTTTTAAAAAGGGGTTTATGTTACATAGGTAGAGCAGAATGACAGAAAAGAATCTGTTTCAGCAGGATTTGTTTTTAAAGACATCTATTGATCCTCATTCCATCATGGTTTAGATGTGCTTCTTCAGCATTAGTGTAAAACCCTCCTGCATTCATCATGTAATAAAGATAACCCCTCTGCATCTAAAAGCATGCAGAACTTTCTAAAGTCTGCCAGACAAAACCCAGTGGATTTTAATGATTTTCTCTTCCAGCAAGAAATGGACAGCTCTTAGAACAGGGGCTATGATTCAGGATTCTTGGGTTCTGGTCTTCGTTTTGCAATCCGATCGCTGCCAAGCTACCTTTGACACCTCTGTGCCTCAGCTTGCCTGGTTCATAAATGGGCCCAGCAACACCTGTCACATGGGCTTGAAAGGTTGAGTTAATTGCTGCTCATAAATCATATTGAGAGCCTTGAAAAAGAGAAATACATATATATGCAAAGTAGTTGTGATGTTGTAATAGAGTTGCATTGCTTTCAGATGCAGTGTTCAAAATTAAACTCTTAAGAGATTCATATTTCTTGTATCACTTTGCTGCCCATTAGCATTAAGGATTTCTTCCAGAATATTCAAAACCTAGGTACAATATTTGTGCAATTAAAGACAACGCTACTCATCACACTTACAGGGGAAGATGCTGGCATAGGAACAACTTTCTCTTCATCTCCCAGTGAAGAGGAGTGAGCTTTGCAAGCATTTCAAGGGCTGTAGGGCCCAAATCTATTCACCATTCCTAATCAGCCTTGCAAAGCAACACTGCCACTTTATAAGACACACATCCTACGTTTAATAGCTCAGTTAAACAAATGCTTCTCCTCCATCTTCTTAACCAGCACATTGGGTGGCTGAAGGATTTAAAATGAGGCACCTTCACTTTGTGAAGATCACAAGCTGCGAAGTTTGGATTAGATAAGAAATTCCCTATTTACACTTTAATGTAAGCCTCAGTTTTCCTCCTGCCCACCAGGAAGACAAGGGAACACCACCAACTTTCAATCCAGAACTCAACAGAACCCAGTGAAGATGTCTTTTAATTGGGCTTTTGGCCTAATTTCACCTCTAAGAGCCAAATTGGATAATTTCTGTGCCTCCTCCACAGAGGAGTGAAGTGGCACAAAAAGCAATAAGATTCATGGAGGTGCCTATAGCAAGATGACTCCATTCCTACACATTTCTCCCACTGCTCCTGCGGGTTGAACACTCCCTGTGCTCCAGGCAGACCCTGTACACAACCACAAGTGGATCTTCGGAGGAGAGAGGACTTGAATCCCTGCTGAGTTGTTCCATCCTGGTAGGGTTTCTAACCACACAACTATGACAAAATCCCAGACGATGAGACCTTTGGAGACTTATCCTTCACCCCTAGCCAGGGCACCAGCATAAGCTCCATTCCCAGAGCAGCTTACTCACTCTGTCCTACAACTCATGTTAAACAGGCAGGTGAAAGATTAGCCTTTTACTTAACCAATTCAAATGGAATTCTTTCTGGTTCTTACACAGATGGCTGCGCTTCAACATGGGAAAATAAAGAAGTTACTGTCAAGCTGGAAATGCTTAGTATGCTCCATAAAATGAACCTGATGTCTTGGTGATAGTATGGCAACTTGACTTTGGTGCTAAATTTCAGCTGAACAGAAAAAAGGCAAGCGAAGGCATCTTAACATTTTAGTAGCCACCTACTATTATAGGAACAAATCAAGCTACAAGAACAGATTATGATTTATTTCTTGCTTGAAATCAAGAGAAGCATCAAGTATGCCGGATTGCCCAAATTCTGACCTGAATCTGAATCAACCATATTGTAACAAGAAGGGGCCTGGACACTGAATAGAGCCATCTATGTGCTACAGAATGTAAATAGGGACAGGTAATATAAATAACACATGACTGCAGGATCTGGCCCTCATTTGGGGGCAGAATGCTGAAACTATAATTGCTCTTGCAATGAATAGCTGATGAATGAAAACAATTAGTCATTTTATTTAAGCTGCTGTTCGTTCTGCCAACACAAGTTTACAGAAGTCATTAGTCAGACTGCACACGGAAAGGAGGAAGAAGTTAAGAAATTTCAGTTCTAAAAATCATTAGATTGAAAAAAAGCCCCCAAACTGATACAGATGCTCAGGCTTTCTCTTGCTGTCTGGTGGGTCCCTTTTTTTCCAAGCTTTTACCAAGTGATGAAAACTAGAGGGTTTAGCATGTTTTTTTTAAGAAGACAGCAAGCAAACCAAGCCTTGGGACTGTAAGAGAGAGGACCTTATAGGTTGTCACAAGACTTGGGATAAGATTTGGAGCATAGGAGCAGTGCAGGACTGGGCACAGGCCATCAAGGAGTGAGGCACTGTGCCTGCTGAGGCATGGCCTCCCTCCTGTGGGCTGCACTGAAATTCAACAGCAGGTTGGCCATGGAAGGAGGCCAACACAAGCACCACGGGGCAGGATGGAGGGGCACGGCTGTCCCTGAGCCTCCTCCTCTGACTGCCCTGTAGGGACAGGTGGCTCCTCAGCAAGTCCACCCAGAGTCCTGCCAGTCCCACATGTCAGCCAACCCCACTGCATCAAGACCAGCAAGAAACACCTCGCCTCTCTGCATTTAACCTTGTCAGGTTTGAAGGTTTGGAGAACCAGGCTGTCCAGCCCTGTCAAGAGTCTCCTAATCCATTAGGACACAAACACTGGCTGCCAAGAGCAAACAGTCATTTTATGCCCAAACTCAGTGCATGAGGAGATGCGAGACAGTGGGTCAGCAGAGCAGGAGTGCATGGGAACAGAGCTCTGCCTCAGAGCCAGCATGGGTCTTGGCATACCCACCGACTCCCCATTGCCGAGAGGCTTTCAGCATCAGCAATGAGAATCAGGTGGAAACTTTGTGCTTTCCAATACTTTAAAACAAAAGGCAGCTTGTAAGACTTTTCCCCTTTCCTGGGGACTTGAAGTAGTGGCTCCAGCTTTGCCTCGCAGCTATTCACAGCATCAAAAGCATGCTCATGAGATCGTACCAAGCTACGGCAATACAGCTGAAGAGGAGCACGTGTTTCTTTTTATTATAACTTCCAAAAGAAGCCATAAATGCACCAACCCAGACATTGTGAAATGCTGAATTGCCACGGATGGAAAGATGGGAAACAAAGTGCATTTTACCAGAATGCACCAGAAATCAACCAGGTTATAGTGGAGGTTGAGTTCTGTGATGCTATTAGTTAAAGATTCTGTGAAAGGGACCACAAACCAAATGTCTGGATACAAGCACACATTTGTTTAACCACAAGGAAGGAAAAGTTCTATCAAAGTATACAAAGGCAAGATAATCTTGATGTAGTCTCTAGATGGTCAACTCTGTATGTGATCTATCCGCTATATTTCCCTGGATGCTCCAATCTCCATTCTTTTCACCTCTGTATTTAGTATTTGCAAGTCACAGTGCTCATTTTCCTAAAGAATATAGTATCTTGCTGCAAAATACACCAAGACTGAACAGTTACTGGATCCCCAGCAAGACCCGCACAGAACACAGTGGTCTTCTCACTCCTCTTCACCAAGGACTCAGCACACCAACAGGGAAGATACACAGTGGTTACAGCTCCTGCTAGTAGCTTCTCTTTGGCTAAATGGGATGTACATGCCCTCATAACCCAGCTTTATTTTCATTTATTCTTTTAAGCAATAGTTAGTTAGGCACAGACTAATAGAGTGGAAAGTTTAACACATTTAATGGTCATAAACAAGTCTTTGACAGAGTCTGAACAAGACTAATAGGTAAAGGCAACTAATGTTTCTTTGCTTCAGCTATACTGTCTTTGCCATCACAAACAATACCTGCCGTAAAGACGCTTCAGATTTTTCTATCTGCTTTCTAAACATGTGCTGCTCAAGGAAGTCGCTCTATAGCTTATTCCCCTGGCTGAATTTCCATATGCCATATGCTTAGAAGCAGAAAGGAGCCTTTCTGCAGTCCCGCTGGTTGAGTGAATCCCCGTGAACCTCTTGTCTGCTTGGATCTCCAGGAAGTAGCATTGAATCTCCTCAGCAGTGTTTTAATTGGCACTGCGAGGACATGCTGTCATCACCCCTCTTCATTCTCTAATGTATCGTTCCAAAATCATAATGCTACTTCTCTAATTACTTTATTTGGCAACCCAAAAATAAAGTGTAATTACAGTGCTCACTATTAGCCTGTAAGGACAGAGGACCAGATCATTTGGAGGACAAAAAAAACTCAGGCCATTAGGTCCTGCTCACAGTCAAACATGAGTCTCCAAAGGAAATGTGTGGTTGCCCATGAAATATTGCTGGCATCTTTGGGAGCAGTTTTGCTTTAGAGCAATGTTGAACCAATACTCCACCATGACAGAGGCACAGTAACTCTGGATACGGCATATTCCCATACGAGATGCTGAACAAATGTCTTTACCACATGTGGTCATTAAAGATTTGATGTCAAGATGAAAGGTGTTAACCTTGGAAATCTGGCCGGACTCCAGCATGGATAATTACATTCTGCCTCCCTAAGCAGTTCTCTGTAGAGTTTCAGCTGGACATTTCAGATCTTAAACCGTTATGTAGCCCTGCTGTGAGTGGCTTAAGAGAAGGACTTTTTGATCACTGTGACAACTCACTGATACTGTGCATCAACAGCTCGTATTACGAGTTGCAAACCTTAGAGCAGTAACAAATCATGCCATGCAAAAACTACTCCAGTTACTGAGCACTGCTGCAGCCCTTTTACACATGAGTAGCTCTAGGAATGCAGAGAAACCTACTGCAGATAACCGCTGTGGGTTGGACCTTTTGAAAAGGAAAGATTGTATTTTCACTCACAGTGCCTGCCTTGGAAGAAACTCACAGGCTAGGGTTGCTGTTTACTGGCATTAGCTGTTTGCACTGTGTCACTGTTTCTCATAGAAGCAGTCCTGCTTGGATCCGAGAGTTATGGGGAAATTTTGCAGTCTTCTAACACCATTATCAAGTGCAAATATGGCATGTGTAGCCTGGCCACTGGATGCTACCAGCACATTGAGCACTGCATCACTGAGACCTGCTCAGCAAGTAGAGCATTTACAATGCCAGACACTTCTCAAGGAAGGCTCCCCAGAGGCAGTATCTACATTGCTGGGCAGATGCTCCCTGCAATCCTTGTCCCAAGGTACACACCCTCGCCCCACACTGTCTGTTCCAGCAGATCTGTATGCACAGCCATCCCCCACGTGCACTAGTTTTCTTTGTGAGGAAGCCAGGGCATGCCTGGGGATGGGAGCAGAGCTGCATGCCGAGAGGTCCATAGCTGGTCCAGGGGCTGGGGCAGTGAACAGTAACAAACTGCAGCCTGACCTCAGAGGGCAGGCAGAAAGAAGCACTAAGAATATTTGCACAAGTTTCCCAAGTGTTAACAAGACTGTAGTTATTACCATCCTCATTAGGACTATCTTTTCCTCATAAAACAGAATCCTACTTTAGCTGAAGCAGACAATTCCTAGAAGTTCCATACTGAACAACACTGGCTCCATGCAAAACCCCAATGCAGAGATTCACTGAGGTTGTAACACAACTGATTTAAATGCAAGAGACTTCAAGGAGTGTGAATTCACACACAGCACAGGAGATTGCTCTAAAATATGTTGACCATGTTATGAATATAAGATTAGAAATAAATCCTTATTTATGTAAAAACTCCTGAGCCTACCTGATCTTGTATTGATTACTATGCTATCTTAGATTTCAGAAGAGCTTTAATAACACTATGCAGTAACCAGAGACAGTGATGATCTCCTTTCAATGTTAAGTTTCTGACACCGCAAAGAACAACGTGGATCATTTGCAGGAATTTTCCCAGTGCTCCACATGCAACTTATCAAATTCCCTTCAAGCATTCATCACACCCATGCAAATAATTTATTCTTCCCCACAGACACTTTGTGTTTGATCACAATGACAACTTAGTGCAGCCACTCTGTATCAAATACATTATGGAGCTTCAAACCTCAGAGCAACAGCTAAATCACATTGAGGAGACGATCCATTCCTGCAGTCCCTGCACACACAGTTACACCTCATGACCACAGTAAAATTCAGTTATGTCAGCAAGGACTGCAAAACCAAGACCATGCTGTTGAAAAACAATCTGTTAATCCTGAAAAGGATTAGCACACTGGATGATAAGAAAATGCTTGAGACCATTGTTACAAGAAAGGCACTTTGATTATAAACTAGTTTTTTATCATTTACAAGTCACCTGTCCTGCAAATACACATGCACTAATTTGTCTATGAAACCCCTGGGAAGCCACAAACAGGTTCCAGGATCTGCTGATTAGTGTAAGCAGTCTGTCAGAACAGCTTCAGCAAATAAAAGAAATGCAAAGTACTGAAACATACCTAGAGGACAGAGTCTCCTGGCTGAGCAGGATTGCAGGCTGGCACCCAAAGAGCCCGTAATTTGGGATGGAACGGCTTCTACAAATCAATCAGTACAGAAAGCAAGCATCACACAAGCTCTGCATTTACCAGGCACTGTTTGACAGCAAGAAACAAGCTACAGCATAGAAAATTTCTATGTATTTTAAGCCTCCATCCCAAACTGACTCCTCATACAATTCATCTGCAGGCTGTAATTTACTAAATCCATCTGTTGTTCCTGCAGCCTGCTTTCTGGAAATGCTGCATTTCAAGGGTCTGCTTGTTAGAGAAGGTCAAAGAGTAAAGCAGGCCCTTTCATTTTAAGTGACTTGAAAGAAAAGGAAAGGAAATTTATATTTAGAAATAGCAATGATTAACTAGGGGAAATATATTAGAGTATTAAAATAAATGACATAGACTAGCTCTTACTTCCAATTAGGCTGACTTTACTTCAAGAAAAATATTTATATACAAATATAAAAAGCCAGGGAATGCCAACCTATACTGAGATGAAAGCATCTCATAATATAATTCATGTTTAGCCATTAAAATGGTTGATCATATTTTTATGTACTTTTTCTTCTTGCCCTTCTCAAGTCTCTGCTTCTGTGCTTTCTTCTCTAGTCACCAAGACTTTTAGCAACTTCTGTCTGTTACCAAGCTGCCTCTTGCAACCACACACCTTCCACATCTCTACAGCCTTTAGAAACACCTCATCTGCTACTACTGCATCATTCCTGGACCCATACACATCACAAGCGGACAACTAACAGACTGGCCACAGAATTAAAGACACAAATTCCCATATGCATCAGTCCAAAACTAAGGGTCTCAAGAGCTGAAGTCTGGACCAGAATCCACCAACTGCAGATTGTATTCAAGGCTTCTGTTATAGCCCACTGGTTGGGCAGGATAAGGAACACCAAAGCCACTTCAGAAAAACAGAAGCAAGCTGTGGGCAACCCCTGAGTATACCTTTATGATGAGCAGAGCGCTGGTGGTAGAGTGCAGAGCCACACAAGTCAACCCAGCACCCCAGAGGTGAGCCTACGGCCCCATGGTCATCCACAAGCTTGCTTTAAATGAGCAAGCTCACATACCACTAGTGCTGTAGCTATCATCAGGAAAGAAAGAAGCACCCCTCTGCCCCCTGCTTAAATACCCAGGTGTCAGCTTCCAATTAACCAGTCAAAGGTGCAGCACACCCAGCTGCAGTCCTTTTCCAGGGCTGTGCTACAGACCATGGTCACAGCCTTAAAGGGCCCAATAATTGACACCATACAAAGCAGTTACTGAGGGAAAACACAATTAATACAGCTGGACTTTGACCAGGAGATTGGAATCACCATCTGTACAAGTGCAAAAGTATCCCAGGACTCTTATTGGCATGAGCAGTCAGGCTGTCAGTCTAAGAAACATCTCAAGTTTGGGTGCGCTAACGTCATGAGGGAACACTGGTTCAGTTCTGACTCAGAAGAATCCATGTCACCTACTGAGTCACCAAAACCATCCCTTGCAGCATGGGTTTCCTTGGAGTCCCCTTTGTAAGCTCTACTTAGGCCTGGCCCTGTTTTGCCTATAAGATTTAACACGGTGGAAGTCAAGAGTCATATGATGCAATGAGCTCCAGAGTTTGTTTGTTTTCTTAGGGGCTCTCCCTCCCTCCCTCCCTCCCTCCAACTGCAGCCCTACCAAAAGGCCTTTGTCTAAGGGGCAGAATAAGGAGCATAGCAGAGTGTTCGCATTTACTTTATGGAAGAGCTACTCCAACAACTCCTCTCAAGCCTCTGAAGTCAGCTCCAGTACAGTTATTTGGCCTAAGTTCATCTAAACTAAATGGGCTGACTTGGTTCAAATATATTGCACAACCAAATGATAAAATTGGGAAGGGGGGGGGGGGGGGGGGGGGGCGGGGGAATGGTTAGTGATGACACATGTATTTAACACTGCATGTCTCCTCTTTCCAGATTAGGAGGAGCTGGCAAGCTTCAGTCTGTACACATGCCAACAGCGGATGTCGGCACATATACAACACTTTTCAGAACAACATACTGTTGAAACATGTAGTTCAACTCAAAGGCACCCCTTCTGTTCAGCTAGCCCAAAACAACTATCTGGATTGTCTTGCTTAATATGGTAGGATTTGTAGCACAGCTCTTAATGCTGCTTTAATCTGGTTTCTTTATAGACACTTTTGAAGTGCAGAGAAGTAGGAAGGAACGACTGTGCTGTACTTTGCACAAGGTCCCCCACATCCACGTGAAACAGGGGAGGTGATGAAACTGCTGACAAGAGGGAAATGTCAAGGAAAAGGGGGTGGCATACCCGATGCAGGAATACAAGCCTCCCTTCAGCCTTTACCTTTCCTCACTTTCCTTTTATTTCCAGTCTGAAGCACAGAGAAGTACGATGCTGACAGGCTCACCCTGGCTTGTTGTCAGTGTCTCCAGAAAGCCATCAGTTAGGATGGGAAAGAAGTAACATCTGCAAAATAAATAAAAATGTATATGAGTGGTAGCTGAAGTGTTCTGCATTCATTAGCAGACAGCTCTGCACACTGAATTCAGATTTGTAAATATGTTCAGTTCCTTCCTCCTTTTCCTGTCAATAATTTTGGTGTGAACACTTATAAATTCAGTGTTCTGGCCCCTCCAGTCCCATGTTCTTTTCTCTGCTTCATTCCCCCTCTCAGCTCTTCAATTATTTTTCTTCTTTCTCACAGCAGACAACACTCATAAACTAAAAATCATGCAGACAAAAAGCCCTAATAAACACAGAGAAAGACACATTTTGGTGTGGGTCTGGAGCGGTGCTGAGTGTATCAGAAGCGATCAATACGCCCCACATGATATGGATGGCTTTTAGACATTGGAATCATTTTCCTTTGGCTTCTGATCTGGCCACCCCATCCCACCACTACCCTGACAATTTCCTTTGAGTCTCACTTCCTACCAGCTGCTTGCATTTCTTTCCCCCTTTCTTTCTGCATAGCTTTAGCACTGGGAAGGTGATCAGCCTGCAGAGACTCAGGGAGGGCTTCCTGCCGTGGGACTCAGAGGCATGTTCATGTAAGGCAGGAGACTGCCAAAGCCTCCAGCTCTGTTCTGCACAAGTTTGATGTGCTAATGTGGGGATCACAGAAAGAGCTGCAGCCAAGGCTGTCATAATAATTGTAAGCCCTTTTCACTCTTCACCAGCAGCACCAGTCCCCACAGGTACCTCTCGATGAAGTAGCCTCTTGTGTGGGTCTCTTTCCTTTCATTGCCCTCTTGAGCATCCAGAGAGCAGTTCTCCAGTCAGATGTCCCCAGTCACAACTACACCCAGTTTCAACGTCTGCTGTCAGTTCAGCAGTGCACTGCTGCCATCCAGCCCTGTTTCCAGCAGTGATCCTCATTCAGTTCTGTCTAACTCAGGTTTCTTGAAATAATTCTTTTAGTGCCCTTTTTAACTGTCTTTTAGACAGGCGCTCATTTGGACAGAAGTAGGCTGGGGACTGACTATGTGTGAAATTACACTGCCCCATCTGATGGAGTACAGTCAGCTTTGGTGGGAGATGTGCAAGAAGGGAAGATGCAGTTGGAGGCTGGGTCTAGATAATAACCTCTTAACCAGGCTCAGCGTGGCCTGGAGAACATGTCTGAGCAGAGCCTGGGCTAAAAGAACAATATTTGGATTTCTCCTGTACTTTGTTCCATGCAGTGTACAAACAGGAATCCCAGGACAAAGTGTACTCCATGTGAATTGTACCAAATGCACTGCAAGGGGCTGCTTCTGTTGGCTTATAAGGATCTGGTTAAAATGCAGAGGACACTGCCAGAGAAAAAAGGAACCTAGTCGTTTGGTTTGGTAAAAATAAGCTTTTATGGACACAAAAATCAACGTACTTTTCCTATGATTGATGGAAAAACAGTTGTGGAAGCAATGAGTGATTCTGCAAATCCATCTTCATGGGTCCTTTTAATTTAGAGGCATGACTCATCGGAGCAGGGACTAGGACTACTTGGATGGTTGTATGACCACAGGATGCAGCCCTGGAAAAGTGTTTTTGTAAACAAATAAACATGCTCCTTCCTGTTGGAAACTCAGATCTTTCAGCACTGGGCAAGCGCCTGAGAACCTGACAGGGAAAGGAGTAAGAAATATTAAACACAATGCCAGTTGCTTGGTCCAGATCCAATAGCAAGAGGTGAATGAAACACATCGAGTGAAAAATAGATGAGTCTTTTAAAGTCCTTTAATAATCTGAAGTGTTGTTTGCATCAGGAACAAAGAAAAGACATGTTAAGTGGAAATTGCCTGCAGAGACAGTCTTACAGCCTGGCAAAACGGAAACAGAGGGGATCTTCTAGACAAAGCAAGACCTAAAATCTGCACTGGGGTATTTGACAACAGCTTGTGCTATGTTGTGCTGTATGTGCAGGGAGTTATCCAAAGATCACGTCTCCAAAATGGATTTCACACTATGGCTTTTGACATCTGATGAAGTCTTTGGAGAGAGATTATCCTCTTTTCCTGGAGAAAGCAGGATGCTGGCTCCCATCAGCAGGCTGCTGTGCCTTCACTACTTGCCTCCCAAGGGGAAAAAAGTCCCAACAGCTGGAAACATTTCCAGAAAAGCATGTAGACAGTAGAAAACTAGCTAAATATTGCAATGTCAGGGAGTCGATTTTCTGTTCATATTCTAAAAGCTATCTTTTGGCAGCTGCTAGTGAATCCTTTAAGTACGTTTAAATCAATGAAGAGAGCCAAAGAAACACTGAAAATCATGTGAGATTAAGACGGGCAGAGTGAATCAAGTAGGGAAACGGCTGAGCAGCTGCTGGAGCCTTTTTGCTGTCACAGACCAACAAAGCTGGAGGATGCTCCAAACCAACACAAAATCCTGCTTGTGCCCAGGCCCAGGTGAGGGAAGGAAAGGCAGAGTGGGAAGAAGAATGCAAGGTTTTGCCCTTGCCTTAGCTGGGTCGAGATGTTTCAGTTGCAAACGATAGATCTATTTTACCTATTAGAGCTTGTCTAGACTAAGGAAATGTTCCTTCTATGACTATGCTGAGGTAATTACACCAGTGTAAACCCCTTTGGGCAAAACAGAGCTTTCAGTGGCCTGATTTACTCTGGTCACTTGCCAGGTTTAGTTCAGCTGGTACCAGCCTATCCTTCAGGAGCTCCTGCTCCCAGCTGGAACCCCACACAGGAGTTTTCTTCCATCTCATCTGAAACATTTGTACTGCCTATCTATCAATCAAACCATCCTCTGGGATGATCTGCAAATGTTCTTCTCCAAAAGAAGGGTAAATATTTAGAAGGTGCCTCTGTTAGTAGAGAATTGATTAATTGGCTACAAAAATAACTCTGGTTTTAAACTAAAGCATACTTTGGTTTGTGTATGCACATCAAGGAAACATATTTGCTGCAAACACAGTGAAATAGGAAGGCAGATGTAGGATGTTCAACCTTCCAGGGGCAGATGTGTCCCTTACGTTAAATGAACTTGTATGAGAGGATAAAATGTGTCCAAAGAGAGTAAAATGGGAGCTATTCCAAAGAGATTCTATTAAATTGATTAAAAAATGAGGAAGAAAAAACATGAATTAACTAAATCCAAGTGCTCACTCTGAAGCGCCTTTTAAAGAACAGAAGAGGAAACTTTAACCTAGAAGTCAGTGGCAACATTTACATTGACTTTAAAGGAGAGGCTTCACTCAATACGTGTACCATGAGGCCACATAACACCGCTGTGCGTAGCGCGGTACAGAAATGCATGTGCTGAGTTTCACACACAGCCCTCAGAGAACAGGCTGATAAATGCAGGATGAGGAACAGAGGGATTGACAGGCAGACTTGGTTATAATTTAATCTGTTTTACTGTTATCTGCAGGTGCTACAGTTAAAATGTTCTAAAAAGTCATTGCACACCTTTAATTCTGAGCAGTTACTGGAAGGCCAGTTAGAAACTCCAACAGTGGAACAAACAGGCTGCTTTGAAAGTCTCCTTTCCAAAAAAAAAAGGAGGGGGAAAAAAATATGTCTGAAGCACAAAGATGACATCAGAAAAGTGCCTCAATTCACACATGGCTGCACCTCTCCAAAAAAATTAAACCAGGAACCCGGGATTGATTTAATCACCCATACAAGCGAAAAAACGTAATGAAGATACTCGGTGCCAAATTGGTTTCTTGGGACCTTTTCCATGTAAATAATACAAATCAAACCTTGAAGTTCAGTGCAGATATGATCTGACAAGTAAGCCAGGCTCTTGCTTTTACTTTGATCCAGCTCCAGAAATATTTTATCCAAGGTAAAGTTGGTTTTAAGTGTTTTCCATTTCAGTTTTTAATTTTGGATATTCATCATATAGGAAACTTGCTTATAATGCTTAAAACATCAGCCTGGCTGCACCGACTCGCCACGCCACGCAGCAAGATTTCCTTCTCTTTTGCTCCTAAGAGGGATAACATAAAGAGCTCCCGATGCAACAGGGGTTCAGTTTCTGATCCCTCTCGTTTTAATGGTACAGTGAATGTGGACAACCCAAGTGGCGTACTTCCATACATCAAGTCAAGCTGATTCCAGAAGCTTCAGCACTGTGTCACTGCTCATAGGTGGGCCGGTGAATAACACTTCTGAATGTAGTAAGATAAATAGGCCTTTGTTTTCTGAGTGATGCCCCCAATTCTCCCCATGCTGCCATTCCCTCAGTATGTGTCTGTAACAGTGTCTTCTCTTGTTAGAAAACCTCCACATTAGGCTTACTCCAGGTTTTTTAGTATTTTACTTTTATACTTATTTGTTAAAAATACTTTAGAAATCTATTTTTACTCCATTCTAAAGCCAGGATGAAGATTCTGCAGTTCAGAAAACTATATATATATATATATATATATATATATACACACACGTATATATAAACCCTGAACCTTGTTCAAGATTCCCACTGTTGTGTGCCTCAAGACAGATTTAGGCACCTTGCTACAGGCATCCACATCGCCACAACTCAGCTCTTGTGAATAATGTAAAATCCTCTGGATTCTCTTACTTGCACAAATTGGTATGTAGTATATTTAGAATTAACAGGGCCCCTTTTTCCCTTTTCACTCGAATATGTGGTGTAAGGTTAATGAAAATAAGATGGATCTTTTATTTTGGGTCTTAAATCTAGTATTATTAAATGTGCCCACCAGAAATGTAAGATAAAATATTTGCTCTGCTTGAAGATTATGTGATATTTGTATTCTAAGCCTCACCACAGTGGGTTTCTTTAAATAGAAGCTATACTTTACTCCTAAATTGCTTAAGGCAAAGGAAGCAGAGATGATGTTTTTATGAATGTTTAAATGCAAATGGAACTGAGAGTGAATGCTATGCTAGCTAACATCAAAGGCTCACCAAAGTCTCTGCATTAATGAGGCTCTTTGTTTCCTGGATCACAGATTACAACAGGTTTCCAACTCATTGCCAAGGCTTTATCTCCATTTGGGAGGGCTGTAAATCTCAGACGATTTTTTTCACATGCAAAACAAGAGGATCATCTGAAAGAAGAGAGAGGGAAAAAAATCTTAAAGTAGCAAATATTTCATTCAAATGATTATTACTCAAAGTGGCTGCAGCTTATTTGATTTTTGTGATGTTTAAAAGAATGGAAATTTGCAGACGGAGTTTCCTATGGGGCAGCCCTCACTCATCTGGATGGGAGAGCCGAGCAGGAAAAAAGCAAAGAGCATCTTTTCCCTCTCTCTTCGCACAGCGTAAACCCGGCCCCCGAATCAGACCGAGAATTCTGTGTGATGCAAAATCAGCAATTAGCAGAAAGACGGATTTTGCTTCATTTAAATACATTCAGGACTTTTCAAAGTGGCTCCAACTCGTTCTTCTCCTCCCCAAAAAGTAATGAGATTATATCCCCAGTAATAATACCCTAATTAACAAGAAAAATAGGGACCAAGATTCTTAGCTTCCTATTCAAGGGCTGAATGTGACAATATGGAGTATATTGGGTCATAAAACCCAATTTACATGGCGTCATTACAGTCTGTGCAGCAGTCTCCAGGACCCAGGGCTATCTTATGCAATCTTAATTAAGGAAAATAAATATCGGGGTGTTGTTTTAAGCTACCGGAGACATGCACAGGACCTGTCGTATGTGATCACAAGAGATGGGGAGTTTCCTTTTCCATGGGAACTGCTTGAAAATCCCTCCGACGCCGACACAGAAGTGTCTCGTGTCCTCGGAGCGGGCTGTGAGGAGGGTAATTTGTGTTTCCTGACCCGCGGGGCCACTCAGGAAAACTCATCATTTTTGGCAGTTCAACATCATGTCTGTGCTGGGAAGGGGCCAGAATGAGGGATGGTGGCATCACCCCGGGCCTGGTGTGAGCTGTGGCCACTCTCTGTGGACATAGGCACCCACATGTGCTGTGAGCACCCACGGCCAGCAACATACCGCCCTTGTGTGCACACGTGTGTGTGTACACATGTATGTGATGTGTCTGTCTGTGCACACATGCATGTCCTGATGTCTGCCTCTGTGCACACACGTGTTGACCTGTGTGCACACTTACATGACCTGATGTGTCTCGATGTGTGCACACATGTATGTGTTGATGTATATCTATGTGTGCACGTGTGGGTTGATGTGTGCCCATGTGTGCACTCTTTAACATCCCAAAGTGTTCCAGTGTGATACGTGTTGATGTGTGTCTGTGTGCACACACAAGCGTCCTGATGTATGCCTGTTTGTGCATGCGTGTTAATGTGTGTCTTTGCACTCATACACGTCCTGATGTGTCTGTGTACATGCATATATGCTGTTACGTGTCTGTGTGCACACATATTATGAGTTGATGTGTGTCTGTGTGTGTGCATGCATATACATGGTGATGCGTGCAAACACACATATCCTGATGTGTCTCAGTGTGTGCACACACGTGTGTTGATGTGTGTCTGTGTGTGCACGCATACATGTACTGACATGTATCTGCAGCTCCATGTACAGATCTCTGTCCTCTGTGTTTAGTTGTTTTAGTGCTGCCCATCTGGTTATAGATTCATGGGCAAATGTGAGCATGCAGATGTGTTTGTGTGTGCAGATGTGCTGCTGCATGCTGCTGTGTGCAGGTGTGTGCTCATCAGAACGATGATGCATTCAGGGCTATGTTTGGATCCCACTGGTGTGTGTAGCTCACTGCTTGTATGTGCCAGATGTGCACTGATCTGTGTGTACAGATGCGTGTGCAGATGGACACACAGACACCTGTAGAGACTATGTGGGGCCACACCAATGCAGATGTATGCTGATGCATATTACAGACCATGTGCACGGACACGCTGAAGATGCGCACATGCATGCAGTTGTGTGTGTGCAAATACATACATAGGTGCAGATGGGGGAGGAGGGGTGCTCATGAGTGTGTGCACAGATGTGGAAGCAGGCACGTGTGGCCACAGGTGTGTGCGCAGATGTGTTCGCACAGATGTGTACGCACACATGTGCGTGCAGGTATGTGCGTGTACACATGTGAGCACAGGTGTGTGAGCTGATTGTGCATACAGGTATGTGCCCACACCCGGGGGGGGCTGCAGAGAGCCCCCATTTCAGGCCACCATGGGGCCCGATCACACACATCCCCCCTCGGATCACTGCCGGAGGGGGCTCACCCCGTTGGGCAGGGCTGTCGGTCCCTTTAAGACGAGCACTCCAGGACCGTGTGTGCACGTGTGTGTTCATGTGTGTGTTCATGTGTGTGTCTGTGTGTCTGTCTCTGTGTGTGTGTGTGTCTGTCTCTGTGTGTCTGTGTGTGTGTGCCCGCCCCCGGCCCCTCCCCGCCGCTGCCAATCACCCGGCGGCCGCTTTGATGCCGGCAGCCCTCGCCCGCCGCGCCGCCGCGCTCGCACACAGCCACCGGCCGCTCCGTGCCTCCGGTGCCGCCGGCGCCCGCTGCTCACAGGGCAACTTTCCGGGGCTCGGAGGGGCCGGGCCGGCGGCGGGGGGGGCCGGCGGCGGCACGGAGAAGGGGGGGGGGCGGTCCGGTCCAGCCCAGCCCGGCATCCCACGACGCCCGCCCGCAGCCTGCCGAGCCCCCGCGGGCCGCCGGGGAAGGGAGGGAAAGGAAGGAGGGGGGGAAGCTTTAAGAAGGAAAAGCAATCATAATATTATCTTATTTTTTTAAAGAAAGGCTTTGAAAGGGAATTTGGAAGGGGGGAATTAAAGGGAAAAAAAAAGTTTAAAAGTTGGAAAGGAGGAAAAAAAAAACTTTATAAAGAAAAAAATTGAAAAGAGCGATTTTTTTATTATTTGAAGATTGAAAAAAAAAAAGAGATTGAGGGTGCAGGGGGAAAAAAAAACACCTCGTAATTGCGAAGGGCTCGATCGGGCGCCGGAGAACAATACTCACCGGGAAAGTTACTGCGCGGCCCGTGAGGGAGCGGCGGGAGGAAAATGCCGCAGCTGGGCAGCGGCGGCGGGGACGACCTGGGGGCCACGGACGAGATGTTGGCCTTCAAGGACGAGGGCGAGCAGGAGGAGAAGATCCCCGAGAACGCCTTCACGGAGCGCGACTTGGCCGACCTCAAGTCCTCGCTGGTGAACGAGTCCGAGGGGACCGGCAGCCCGGCCGCCGCCGCAGCCGCGGACCCTGAGGTAAACTGCACCCCCCCCGCCTCACGCTCCCGCCCTTCCCGCCCCGCGCCCCTTTGCCCGCCACCCCGCAATGCCCGTCCGTGTCTCTCCCTGTGCAGGCCGTCCGGAGGGTGCAGGATCCGCAGAGGGCTTACCAGGAGAAGCTGCCCGACCACATGGATGATGGTTAGTCGCAGCGATCCCCCTTCTCTATGTGTGTGTGTGTGTGTCCCACGTCCGAGTGCTCGCTGTCCCCACGGTGGGTGAACTCCCCCGGGTCCCCGACCTCACCACCCCGGAGTGAGAGATGCCGGCCTGGCCGCCATGGCCTCATGGGAATGCTGCTCCTGTCAGCAGTGAGGCCTCCCAATGCCCCCCTGTGGGACCCAGCACACCTCCAAACACCCTTTCTAAAGGATACAGAGCAAAAAGACTCCCCAAAACCGCACTGTAACCTTTATGATGGGCCCCGACATGCAGAGGAATCACCTGTCATAAAGTGAGTTTTGATGGGGAACTTTAATTTTAACAGGTATGAAGCATCAGGACCCAGGGATGTATAAAGGATCTGCGTACTCTGGCTACCCCTTCCTCATGCTCTCAGATCCGTATCTGCCAAATGGATCCATGTCGCCACTGGTGAGTTCATCCTCTCCTTATGGAGAAGTTCCGTGGCCTCTCTCGCCCTGCTGCAGTGTGTTGCAGGTATCGTGCAGGCTTTTTTGCCTGACATATTGCAGCCTGCCTCCTAAAATGCCTGAGCACTGCTCTGTCTAAATGGGAGAAAGAATGGGAAGGGGGGAGAGATGCTTGGCAGCAAGCGCCTGCCTCACTCCGAACTTGCTGGAGGCGCTTCTTTTCCAGTCTCCCCATCCTCTAGGTTTGCCTTTACAATCAAACCAAAAAATGATGTAAGAATGCCCCTTCCTTTTTCTGGGTCACTGACTTTGGAGGAGAACAGCTTCTGGTGTTTGTGTTCAGGGATATGTCCCGCAGCTCGACTTCAGTTTGATGTATCTGCTTGTGAGATTGCCAGGGTTTGGCCTGCTTTAGTTCGGGCTCTGTTGTGGATGATGGTCCAGAGAGTGGATCTTGTGCTTCTAAAATGGCAATAGAGGTATTTAGGAAAAGGCTTCATGCTGCTGGAGGACTGTCTTCTTTCTATGAAGTTTTTTCCCTCTTGGGTCAAATCAGCTTTAGTAACTCTGTATTCTCATGCTTACAAGTTTTGCTGTCTGAATAATTGAACTAAAGGCTTCTCTGCAAAAGCTGTCTTTTCCCATCGCCATCTCTAGCAGAACTCCAGAAAATCATGTCATGACGTTGCCGCAGTCAGTTGGTGCTTGTGTTGCTCCTGAGGAGCCAGCATTGCTGCATTCATTTCAGACATGATTCTGTTTGTAGTCAGTAAATGAGAACAGAATATCAGCTGGTTTATTTCGGGTTTAGTTTTTCACTTTTAAAGGGATAAGGTTGGAAAAGAATACATAACATTGTGCTTAACTTCAGTCATTTGTTGGTTGGAGGGGTAGAGCGTTAAACTGGCGCTATGAAAAAGTGATGGATTGTGATGTGTGAAACTCAAGAGTGAGATGAAATATTATTTGTGGGAATCGCTGCTGTGCCCTGCGGGCTGACACTGCTGGCCTGGGTCACAGGAGATGGGTCCTTCCATGAGCCTGCCCCAGCCCCAGCACAGCCTTTCTTGGGGGCACAGATTCCCCTGCCTGCAGACTGCTGGAACTTTGCTGAAGTCAGTTTTGAGGATCTGTCCCTTAATTTTGGAGTCTTCCTTGGGTTTGCAGCCAGGAAAGATGCGTTTGCAAGACAGGGCCAGTGTACATTGTTGTAATCCAAATGAGCATTTCTCCTGTTGCTTCCCACCTTTGTGTCCCTTCATCCAGGTACCAGCTATCCCCCTCACCCTCCTAAAATGTTAAGCTGCTCTCTTCCTGGTAAATGTTTAAGTCTATTGAATTTGTCTTATTTAAACGTATTTAGTTTGCTCCCTAGTATAGAATCTGGGTAAGTTCAGAGTTACATTAGCACAGCAACTCTTTCTTGTAATGGAACATTTCTTTTAATCTTAAACCCTTACTAGATGGGCCACGAAGTGCAATAGTCTATTTATTAGCAATTAGGGTTAAAAGGAGATTGTAGCTTGTGAATTGCTTTTCCTCTTGATAATGTAATAAAAACCCAAGTAGTTCCTGTCGGAGCAGGAGTAAATAGATGGTGCAGAGCTCAAAGGGGGTAAATGAAGTAGCAGAGAGGGAATGATTCCATCCCCTTGGGAGCCATGGGAATCATCTCCTGTCCCAGCCAGCTTCACTGAGGCCCGTTCTGATCCTGTGGTGGTTTGTTGCGTGCCTTAAGAAACTGATTTGATTTAACAGACTTTTAACTCACAACCTAGCAGACATGGGAAGATTCTTCCTCAGATAAAGGCTGGTCTTGTGGTTTTTGACTTGGTATAATAGCTATTCCAGTATTGGATAATAGCTATTCCAGTATTGGAATAGCTGGGCAATTTTGTCTTGTATTTATATTGACTATGCAAAGGTTATCATAGTAAATTGTGTATTGTTTTCATATAGATTTATTGCTACTGTGTATATTGGATGAATTGTGGGCTATAATCTGGTGGCTGTTTCCAGTAATTGAGGAGGTCAGATCTGTGACCGAAGATTGCAGATACTTCACCATCCATAGAAGTGTGTTTAATTAACACTTTAGCAAAAGTAGAGTCGGAGAGGAGGGTTGTGTGAGTGAATGGCATTATGTACCACACTTGTGGGTGCGCTCGATAGTGGAGATTGTATGTTGGTTAATGATGCTTCCTGGAAACGGGTGTTTGCAGCCAGGATGAAGTTCAGAACCTTCCAAAACTAAAAATTAAATGAATTAACCCAGGAGTACTTTGGCAAACTGTCAGGGCTTTACATTTACCTGATTGAAAAACAGAATACATGGCTGTAGATGAAGGGCAGCCAGCGCCGATCCTGTGGGCTGAACCCCACTCTGTGACTCACTGTAAAACCACAGTTCTGTTCCGTGGGCTCCCTCCAGACCCCAGCTGGGCGCTGTGAGTGGTGCTGGAGCCAGCCCGTGTGGGTGTGTTGCTGCCAGTGGTACCAGTGTGCTGCTTTCCTCTTTTTCTTTCTTATTTTCTCAGCAGCATCACTTTTGTTTTGTTTCCCTGAGGTGGCTATGGCCTGCTAACTGTTCCTCGGCTCTCTCCAGCACCCTGCTGAGCTCCCCACATCTCCCCAGCCAAAATTGCCTCTTTTTACCAAAACACACTTGTGTTATTTACATGCTGTGAGACACCCCCCTGCAGTCCTGTGTCCAGCTCTGGGGCCCTCAATACAAGAGGGACATGGAGCTGTTGGAGCGAGTCCAGAGGAGGCCATGGAGATGCTGCGAGGGCTGGAGCAGCTCTGGTCTGGAGCCAGGCTGAAAGAGTTAGGGTGGTTCAGCTGGAGAAGAGAAGGCTCCTTAAGGGGAGACCTTAGAGCAGCTCCAGTGCCTAAAGGGGCTACAGGAAACCTGGAGAGGGGCTTTGGACAAGGGCCTGTAGGGACAGGCCAAGGGGAATGGCTTTAATCTGCCCGAGGGAAGACTGAGATGAGCTCTTAGGCAGAAGCTCTTCCCTGTGAGGGTGCTGAGGCGCTGGCACAGGGTGCCCAGAGAAGCTGTGGCTGCCCCATCCCTGGCAGTGCTCAAGGCCAGGCTGGACACAGGGACTTGGAGCAAGCTGCTCTAGTGGAAGGTGTCCTGCCCATGGCAGGGGGCTGGAGTCAGATGAGTTTTAAGGTCCCAGCCTGTGATTCTATGATCTTGCTCTGAAGTGATGCACTGGACATGTCTGGGTACCTAACAGCAGCAGCAATGGCAAGCCCAGTTGATGTCTCCAGCGACCAGCAGGATGTGGCAGGAGCCACCCTGTAGTGGGCAGATCCTAGGCATTGGGCTCAGTGGCCACCTTTGCTCCAGGTGGCAAACATGAATTTAGGGTAATTCAGCTGTAAGGATGCTGTTTGAGCATGCACAAGTAGCCCGGCCTGGCAGTGAAGCTATCAAAGAGGGAAGGGAGGGCTAGGAGTGAGGAAGGAGCCTGTGCATGCATCTGAAACCTCAGAACCAGGAGAACCGTTTCTCACCCGTCGCTCTGGTCTTGCATATGTGGTTGGTTGCGGCTCTGCTTTGGCTCTCCTGACTTGCAAAGTCCAGCTTTTCCTTGAGTGAAATATATAGGATTTACCAGTTAAAAATCTGCAAGAAACTTCCAAAGAATACTGACAAGCTGAGGAACTGTTTTTCTAACTGAAATAAAAAATCATAAAACTATATCCTTTTTTTAAATAGTACAAATGACTTTAAATCAAATTAAGGTACATCCTTAGTGAGAACATCAGCCTTTTAGGTGGTTACAAACATTAGAGGTCAGACATGGTCAAACATGTTAACACTTTGATCAGATTAAAATATTTTTCTTGCTACAGTTATATAATTGAGTTTAGACCCGAGGGGGTTTTCTGAACATTGTTATATCTTGTACCATGTGGTAGTTAAATGGTAGAAGGAGTACTTATAAGTTCCTTTAAGATCCTTTTGTAAATAGGTTTATAAAAGAGGGGAATGAGCCATGCTGCCCCGTATGTAGGGCACAAGCTCTCCCCGCTCCAGTCGATGGCAGAGCTCCCCAGGGAGCTCTTCACACCTTCTGTGCACCTCTGTTGTGTGAGGTGTGTGCAGGCAGAATTCAGAGGTTCTGTATTTAAAGTTGAGGCATTGGACTTACTGTCTGTGTGAGCAAAGAGATCCAAGAGCCTCAGTTTCTTTGGAAAACAGACACTACCTCATTTTCTTAATTATGAAGTTGTCTAACCAGAGCTGATGCAGGAGCAGAAGGGTGGTGGTACCTTCCCAAGCTCTGCACATCTCAAGTCCTCAAATGAGGCTGCAGGTTCCAGTGTTCAGAGCCTGGTCCCTGTGGTCCAGCAAGCTCCTTGAGCTTGGTTCCTGCTCAGAGGGTTTGAAATGTCCCCTTGGGCAGGGCAAGATGAAAGTGCAGTTACTGCTGGCCTGTGGCCACAGGTCCCACATGTCTAAAGTGAAGTCAGAAAGCATGGAGCTGAAATCCTTCTGCTGCCCTTCGCTGGACAGAAGCAGCTGAGCTCTGGGACGTGGTGCTGCTCCATCCCTTTGCAGGAGGAGGCTGTTGCCCCCGCAGCAGTTGGTGGAAGGAAATCTGCAGCTCAGCTGCTTCTGTGCGGAGGTCTTTCTTTCTGTCCCAGCTTGCACTGTCAGGGCAATGGTTTAGTGGTGCTTTTTCTTGTGTTGAGTTCGGATCCTGTTGAAACCAGTGGGAAAACTCCCTGGAGCCGCCATGTGATAGGGATTTGTTGCTGTGCGTGAGAGGGCTGCTGCATCCCTCTCCAGATGTGGTGCATGGAGGGAGGGCAGCTGCAAGCCACCGGTAGGTCTGCGCGTTCCCAGCAGTGTCTGCAGCATCCTAGCCAGGTTCGCTGGCATGGGGCTTGTGCTATGGGACCTCACTGGGACAGTGCTCTTTCCCCATAGATTGTTATATTCCCAGCAGAAAGCATTTGGAGTGCGGTGCCTGCTGATGGATG